CTTTCTCCCTTTTCTTTCCCCCAGTCAAGTCTGTCCCGTATTCAGCAAGTGAAAATAAAATAAAGAATAAAAGGTGAATCAAATGGACCATTACGGCAAAGCCGGGATGGTCAATTTGGTAAAGTAAATCCGTTGGGCATCTTTCTTCGCCTTTAGACAATAATTCTGATGGCAAAAGAGCCAAACGGGACAGGCAAAAAAAAATAAAATAAAATAAAAATAAATATATATATATATATATATTTATTTATGTATGTCTGAGTCACCTATGTCTGATACTGCAGTACTCCTTCCTGGTTTATATGAAAGCAGTGGCTGAGGGTGGAGCCTGATTTAATACAAAGTTTAAAGAAAAGCTCGACTTTTTCTCCACTGTTTAAAATGGTCTGATTGGTCCGTATATGTGCTTCCCTTCTCTTAACTCAAATTGTTGAGATAAAATGTGAATTGAATGTAGTCATATTACAAGTGTGTCTGCAGTGTTTTCCAGCTGTATTAGCTCTCACAGTCGTCTGGATAACAGAAACCATAGTTAGAGCAGTGAATTACAGGGAAAGATGAGCAGATAATGTGTCTGGTCTCCTCTCTAATGATATGGCATGGAAACATATTTCTAAAATGTGTATTTATTTTGTTTTTCCAGCTTGCTCTAAAACTATATCTATGTATGTTGTTTTACACCTGTCATTTAAAGAAAATACAACTATAGTGCAGTGAAGAGGGGACAGAGTCAAACACTGGGTCGCTGCATTTAACCCTGTGGTATATCGTCGTCTGTTAAACCTTTGAGCACCCGTAATTATGAATGTTATAATATATTCTTCCAGTTTTACAGGTATATCCTTCATGAATTTTGAGGGGGTGTTATTCTTTGTTTGTTTGATTTTGTAGGTTACATAAAGCCATGTGTGAAAAGTTGTGGGATTCAAAATATTTTATCCCTTTTTACACTGATGGCTCATGGATATAATGAGTATAATGACACGATTGTGTGTCATGTGGCAATTAATGAAACCAGTAGATCCAGTACACCCAGTATATATGAAATTGTAAATAGATTTTGCTAATCAAAACAGTAGCATTTTCATACTTTATGGACCGCAATGGGATCGATTTGCATGTTCATATTTACAGACCTACTGCAGTATGCAGTATGGCTCGCACCCAGCCCACTGATAATGTCTCTACTGATGATAGTAAAAGCGTATCATTGATCCCATCAGGATCTCATTTGGATCATTTGGATTGAGAATCCCTTTCTGAGGGGGCAAGTGGATACAAACCATGGCAGCAAAATGTCACTGGATCTCCCCACTGTAGTGGTTAAGCTTTCAGGGTTTTCATGCACACATGATAAATAGAATATATACTCTACGCGTATGGCTTTCATTTAAATGTATTTCAATTCTGCACATCAAACTTTACTTTTAACAAATCATGTTACCCTGCAAAGGTGATGTATGTGGGTGTACTAAGAACTGAGCAGGCTGTGTGGAAACTTCCTCTGTGACCTGTTTAATCCAAGGATTTTTCCTTTCCTGTATCTGAACAGGTAAAATCTGCTGTTAGCATGCTCATCAAACTACTTCATTTTGTAAAGAATTTGCTCCTGCTGCTACCACTCTGTTGCGCAGGGTTGGACTCTGAGGCTTTCACATCCAAATGCAGAATTATGTATATGATTCAGGTCACACCACTAATGCTTCAGCTGCCGCTCTGCATGACTACAACTAAAGGTCTGTTGTGTTTACAGTGCTCAAGGCTTATTTATGACTTTGCTTTGCTCCACTTTGCACTGTTACCGGTTGAGGTTTGTTTGTGCGGGTTGATTTATTTGAGTCTTTTTTTTATGACTGAGGACACAGAGCAGGACATTCAAGTCAGAACAATCAGTGGAGATATGTCTATGAAAAAGGTTAAGGGTATCATTAAATGATGTGGTGTTGTGAGTTTGTGAAAAAGCGGCACGTGTAATGTGCTTGTGCTGATATGAAAATGTTTCCCTGTAGTCCTTCGTGTTAAATGAGGAAAAGTGGGCGGGCTCATGAATGCTCATCACTTAAATTCAAGCAAGAAGCATTCGTTTTTTTCACTACTATTCATTCTTATCCTGTGATTTCACATGAATTCGATACTCTTTCTGTCCCTGTTATGTGATCAGAGCCTAAATCTGGTGGGTATCTTCTACCATTAATGACATGAGGGAAAGTGAAAAAATCACTAAAGTGAAAAAAGTGACTTATAATGAGCCACTCCTGCTTCTACAGAACTGTTCAGCTGCTGGTATCCCACAAATAAAAACCACTTTACATGAGCCAGCAATGGTAGGTGTGTCTATACTGGCAATCACACTCTTACATTCAAATATAATGCCCATGGCATGATTTCAGCACATGACATGTATTATATTCTGTCTTTTGGAAACAATGTAGATCAAGCAGACTAAATGTGGTGCTGCTGAATAACATGTACAGCATTAGCACCGAGGAAGGATGGATTTCGGATGGCGGCATGCAGTCTCTTAAATATTTAAATATTTAATTCTCTGAACACCGTCAGACTCTAAGAGGACAGTTTAGTTAAAAGAAAAAGTCCTGATGTTGGCAGGTCCCGACTCACTCAGGAGGATGGGTCCACAGTACCAAACAGCAGTCATCACCTCCTGAAACAAAGCATAGAAAATAAAGTTACAATAATCATATTTATTTGTGAGTATTTAAGTTACACCATAGAGCCAATTCCTATTGTAGCTATTACTGCTAATAATATAAATAAATAATTGATGTTAAGGTTATGAGCAACTACAGCAAGTCCTTTACAATCTGAAGTTTTGTCAAACTTCTTTGTTGCACCGTGTGATCCAAGTTTCCCCACTGACGTCATCCCAGTGTTAATGAACTCATCACTGTGAATAAAATTGTCATAAATCTGCTATTAAAAGTTAAAACTTGTTTTTATCAGCTGCACTGTTTTATCAGCTGCACTGTATATATTTATTATTCATTTGTAATGTTATTCTACAGTATTTTTGTACAAGATAGAAACTATACATTATTATATAATGATATGATATAGAAAGCTAATTATTATTATTACCAGTAGCAGTAATTAGCAGTAACATATCATCAGATACTACAACACAATTTGTAGTACTACAATATTATTCTGTCCGCTGCACAGTTACAGAATATCATACTTTTCCATCCTCCTGTAAGCTCATTATCACGTGTTTTACTAACACACAGTTTATGTACTCACAGGTATCCATATATGGTGCTAATGTGGTAGTCTTGGGCCGAGTGGGCCGGGAAACTAATAGACGTGTTGGTCAGAGTTACTGTGTGTCTATTTGAATATGAGCCAATCCTTTTTTTCATTTTTTCTCAGCACATTTGCCTACAGGATTTCGCTTCTTCCTCAATGATTGGGCAGAATGCTCTGTAAGCTCCTGAAACATGCAAAGTGATGCAAATGTTTTCAGAGTACTATCAGGATGAGAACTGAGGGTCTCTGGCTATCAGTCGGAAAATCAGCTGTTGGAAGATCATATAAGCTTAGAGGAACCTCTACAGACAAGGATACAGGGTATGTATGGCTAGATAATTCTTGCATTATGAGATTTAAACAGTATTTCACATGATTTTGAATTGGTTTGTAGTTTGTAAATAAGTTTGTAAAGAAGGAAATTATCTTCAGTGCACTAAAATAACAGTTTACTCTTTCAGAAAAGGAAAACTAAGCTTCCAAAGTGCCACTGAAACTGAGTGCATCCAGGCAACATGGACCAAACATTTCGAGCAGTAACCCGCAGCCCTGGGATTATAATCTGGAGAATTGAGGTAATTTTAATTGCTGCAATATTGACAATTATAATATTGTAGCTGTTTAAAAAAAAAAAAATCTAATTTAGCTGTTTGTCCTGGCAGTGATGATTGAAGTAGTTGTTAAATCTGATGCATAGATGTGTTTGGTGAACATGAAAATAAAGACACTATGTTTTTGTTGTTGTGCAACAGAAAATGGAGCTGATTCAAGTTCCTGAGAAATCTTACGGAAGCTTTTTTGAAGGCGACTGCTATGTGCTTCTGTTTGTAAGTCTGTGATGGCCACTGATGCACTATTACACTGTTAGATTCAAGGACTGCATATTATGTAGTTAATTCTGCTGTTGGTTTTCAACACTTTTCCATTTAGTTTTGTTCTTTGAGTAGTCAGTGGTAACTAAATACTCTGATTCCTGCTATACACTACAGTCTTGACACAATTATGCACTTCTCCAGACCCAGAAGGTGGGCAACTCTCTGTCTTATAATATCCACTACTGGATCGGCTCACAGTCCACTCAGGATGAGCAGGGTTCTGCTGCTATTTACACCGTACAGCTCGATGAATTTTTGGGCTCTTCCCCGGTTCAGTACCGAGAGGTCCAGGACCACGAATCTGACACTTTCAAGGGCTACTTCAAACAAGGAATAATGTGAGTGAATGCCAGCACAGTAGTTATTAATATAAAGTAAAAGAAACAACAACAATTATCATGCCAATATTTTTAGCTACAAGAAAGGCGGTGTTGCATCAGGCATGAGACACACTGAAACCAACACATATGATGTGAAGAGACTGCTCCATGTGAAAGGAAAGAAAAGGGTGATTGCCAAGGAGGTGAGCCATACTTCAAAGCAGTTATATAACATTACTGGACAGATTATATCTTACAGAAAGATTGCTTTATGCTTTATTCTTTCAGGTGGAGATGAGCTGGAAGAGTTTTAACCTTTCAGATGTGTTTTTGCTGGACTTGGGCAAGAACATCATTCAGTGGAACGGACAAAAGAGTAACAGACAGGAAAGGCTCAAAGTAAGATTTTATTTTTTAAGTGTAACAGTGCTGTTGGATGGGATACTCATACTGTAATATACATTTAAGAAGAAATAAGAAAAGCATGTGCTAAAAGGGCTTGTGATGAGTAACCTTTAGCCTCACCTTAACTGTACCGGTATCGTGTAGTTACAGGTTCAGTTAATCTAAATTACTCATATTAAAACCTCTATACTCTGTGCTTTATGTATGTAATATTTAATACTTTTACTTATTTTGCCAGTTAAGTATCATTATGAAATCTGCCATGAAGAGTTGTGGGTGTGCACAGTTAAAGCTCATTTCCTTCTTCCTGCAGAGGGTTAAATGCTCTGCAGGAAGAAACTAAGATACAGATAATATCATTGCAAAAGTGACTCAAACTTTTAAATCATAAAGACCCTTTATCTAGTGAATATTTGCATATTGTAATTTTATTCTGTAGGTGATTCAGTCATATTTATTAAATAGTAAGCTCACATGTTCGGACAAGCAAACGTGGCATGATAACGCTGATTTAAAAGTGGAGAAATACAGGTGCGCATTAAAAACACAGTTAAAAAAAAGACAAAGTACAAGGCTGGAAGTGAAGTACAGGTACATAATGTTAATTCGAATATGACTTATTTTAAGGCCAACACACACCAAGGAATAAAGAAAAAGGGGATTCTGATCTAAGAAGCACACACAAAACAGTTTAACAGTTTATTTCTGCCAGGATGTCTGTTTCTGCAGTGCTCACAACACCAACTCACATGTTTTTACATGTTTAATAGGATGTTTAAAACAAGGTTTATCTGAGGAATTGACCAAATTATATTCCAGCTTCCCAACTCTTGGACACTGCGACAGCTTGTACTTTAAAAATACTTTTGAAAATAAGATATTACTGCAGATTACGGTACTGAGTGTCCAGTATGTAGAAGTAAACTGTTACTTTGCTGTTTCCCAGGGCATGTTGCTAGCCCAAGACATCCGAGACAGAGAGAGAGGAGGTCGGGCAGAGATCAGAGTGGTGGAGGGTGAAGCTGAGAGCAGTTCTCCTCAGGCCATGGAGCTCATGACAGAGACGCTTGGAGAAAGAACCGTAGCGCTGAAGGACGGACCTCCTGATGAAGCAGTTGACCAAGAACAGAAGGGACAACTCACACTTTACCAGTCAGAAGCTCACCGACAACTGATACCATATCTATGTTAAGATTCAATTTTGCACTATTTTATTTGTTAACGACTTTCATTTCAGGGTCTCAGATGCAGACGGCCAGATGAGGGTCACAGAAGTTGCTACGAGACCACTAGTTCAGGATCTTCTTAACCATGATGTGAGCCGTTAAACAAAAAACAAATATACACATTAATATTTAACCACAACAATGAGCTAGAGCTAAAACCCCATATTTACTAAAATATAATGACTTAGTTTTGTAAAATTACTACGAATAATCTTATTATTTTAGGACTCCTACATCCTGGACCAGGGAGGGGTAAAGATCTTTGTGTGGAAGGGGAAGAAAGCAAACAAAGAAGAAAGACAGGCCGCTATGACCAGAGCTTTGGTGAGAGGAACAGTTAAGAGCTTTTACCTAACTGATGAAAGGTGTCATATTTATTTCCTCTGTTGTAATTGAATTGCCGTCGTAGGACTTCATTAAAGCGAAAAACTACCCGATCACTACAAATGTGGAGACAGTGAATGATGGGGCAGAGTCAGCTCTCTTCAAGCAGCTGTTCCAGAGGTGGACTGTGAAAGACCAGACTCAAGGTCTGGGAAAAGTGAACACAAAAGGAAGGATCGGTACGTGTAGCTGTGAATTCTGAGGAGGGGAAAGAAACACACACACACATATAACAAAGAAGTCTTCAGATTTTAAAAGAAAACAAACCTACATACAAGTTACTTTTGATCACAGTATCTTTATAATATTGCTTTATCATCATATTTTCTTTAGCTCATGTCACACAGGAGAAATTTGATGCTTCATTGATGCACGCCCAGCCAGAGGTTGCTGCACAAGAGAGGATGGTGGACGATGGCACAGGTCAAGTAGAGGTATAGGAATAAATTAACTCTATATTTAACTTTTTTATCAGTAAACAATTGCAGCAGTTGCATCAAACAGTCCTCTGCATCAAAAACTCCTCCCACATCATAAACAGTCCATCAAATGTAACAATCAGTCATTAAAAACCTACCAATAATCTCATGGTGTCATTTGAACATGGTTTCACAGATATATCACCAAAAATAAATAAACAAAATATATTTGTTTGGCAATTGTAAAGATCTCATGCTAAGTATCTAAAAGTCCCCATTCTGTGTGACAGCCTACTTTGTAAAACCAGCAATGATGACGTGATTATGCTGTAATCAGTCTCAAACCTGTGGGCCTCTTCAAACCACACAGAATTCTGTTATTATTTGTTTATTTGTTTAATCAGAATTAAAGAACAGGAAAGACTGCTTTCTGTCCTTCAACCACCTATTTTCCCCTCCCTATGGTGTAATTACCGGTGTAGCCTCACGGGGTCGCTAACATACTTACAGATTTTAAAACTTCATATCAGGAGAAAATCAAGTACTGCTGATGCTGCTCTCTGGTCTGTTTGAAGCTTTCAGCTCTTCAAATTAAACATTCATGTTGGTGATTTCACAGAGAAAGTGCAGATATTCCATGTTAATTTACTTTTGACCTGCCCAGGTGTGGAGAATTGAAAATCTGGAGCTAGCCCCTGTGGACCCCCAGTGGTATGGATACTTCTATGGAGGAGACTGCTACCTGATCCTCTACACTTACTTGGTTAACAACAAGAAGTGCTACCTGCTCTATATGTGGCAGGTGAGGTCACAGTTAAAGCAATTCACAATCACACACCTAAACTTTGTATGTGTCACTGTACCATATGAGATTACACTACTGTGTCACTTGAAATTTCAGGGGCGTCATGCGACACAGGACGAGCTGGCTGCCTCGGCTTTCCAGGCTGTGAGCTTAGATCAAAAGTACAACGGAGAGCCCGTTCAAGTGAGAGTAACTATGGGCAGGGAGCCGAGACACTTCATGGCAATTTTCAAAGGAAAACTGGTTATCTTTGAAGTAAGACTCTTCTCTCAACTTACCCTTATTTCATTTGAAACATAAACACCCCACTTCTGGTTTTGTAACAGTACAGGGTAACACTTTATGATACATGATATGGTAGGTAGAATTTCCCTAAAACTAAGTGGAATTTCAATGCATTACAATGAAATTATATTTACCTATAAATCCTCACTGTTAGATACTCTAGAATAAGAAGAGAATCATTCAGTTTTTACAACGTTACTGTTTAATGAAAAGAGACACAAATTATACTGCAAGTAATTTAAATTACTGGTGTCTTACTTGAGCGTTTTTATTTTTTTATTGTACATTTACTCTGGTGTGCATCAATATGTTTCACAATTCAACTGTCCTTGTATATTACATATAAAATATGAAAGGACACGCCCTTACATTGCATATAAAAATGTGCTAATAATTGTTCTCCCTTTTCTACTTATAAGAAAAAACAAGCATAGGTCCATGTGATCTTTTATACTGATGGAGCCAAATCTTAATTCATATTTTTTATTTCCAGTTAAAATTACTGCAAAATGACATGCGAACCCAGACTTGGACACAAGAGAATCAACAATAAATTATTGAATATGATATATATATATATATATATATATATATATATGTATGTATATATGCTTT